CCCCCACCCCTCCAATTTACTGCTGCCCCTTTTTTTTTTTTTTTTTCTTTCATTTTCCAGAGCCCGCCCGTCATCCTCATTTGCTTTTCCCAGCACAATTGCTGAAAATTGCAGGCAGAGGGCAAGGGGCACATGAAGTATAGTTGGGTGTGACTGCAAATAAAAACAGGCAGGGAGCAGTCAACAAAATTGTTGTTTCATTTAGACATTTGTCCTTAAAATTAATCTGTACTTTGACCATTAGGGTACAGCTACAGATCCCTTTTTAATACTGATCTCCAATGCCAGCTGAATGGAGCGACTGCACAGTATTACATTAGTGTTACATGCTGTTTATTATCACGATATTATTGTATCACTTTTTGGCTGCTGTACTGACATAGTCAGGTTAAAAAACATCCCAAGTTCATGTAGTTCAACCTAATAGACATAAGAAAAAAAAGAGAAAAACCTCCATGAACAAAACCCTATGCCTATAGTTAGCACAGTTGATCCAGAAGAAGGTAAAAAACTAGAGGTGCAGCGAAATGGAAACCGATAATAAGAAATTTGTCAGGCCAAAACGTAACTTTTTTTTCTAACTTTGTAAAAATTATTTTTTTAATATTATATTTGTATTGATTTTTTACTCTACTCAATCCCGACTTGCCGGTCACAGGAGGCTGAGAGGGCAGTGCGGGGAGGAGAGGAGCTGACACCGCTGTCAGTGCTCTCCTCCCCGCACCGCCACCTCGACCACCCCGCTTGGCCTCCTGTGATGACGATGACGGCGCTAATCCAACCACCCCTTTGCCTCTTGAAAGTTTATCTCCTCCCCGTTGGGCGGGGATCAAAGGGGACACCGAACAGCGCCCAGTGGGGAGAAGAGACACTAGAGATGCACTGCACTCTATAAAGCATAGTTGAATGTGCTCCAACAGGTGAAACCAATAACTTCATGATCCCCTAGGTCAAATGGCTATTCCCTCAATCATCAATCTCTGGTGTTTTTTTACTTCTAAAATGTTAATATCTAGTTCTATTCTGTACATTTAGGCCCCTTTCACACAGGCTGATCAGGAAAGCATCCGTGGACCGATCCTCTCCTGATCACAGCAGTATAGAGCGGATGTT